ATTGGGGAGTGTAGTTTAAGGGACTAACAAAGGACTTGGAAAGGGACTGTTTTATACATAGGGGACATGTTGAAATTATAGGATACTCGGGACAAATTGGGCAGATGATGCAGTTCATGTAAAATAATGTCTACATTTAGGTTTATATTTCTTTTTGTTTTCTGATTATTCCCTTAGAATAGATAAACTGATTCTAATTCCTAAAATCGTGGAATTGATTATCTTATTGTTGTATATAAAATTGTAGTATTATAATGGAAATACAACATAACATTATTCACTGTTTTCATTCTCAACTAGAACTATGACAACAACAACAGCCAAAATAAAAATAAAAATAAAAAAGGTAGGCATTACTTTGTTTGTTCTTCACCTATGAGTTGCCTCTTCTCCTTCTCAGATTTTTTTAAGTCTTCAAGAATTTTTCTGAACAAATTCAATGCATTAAAGTTTAAAAATCATGAAATATTATGTCTTTCAATAAGTACTATGACCCAACAACTATAAACGAAAACAATGCATAAAAGAAGCTAAAAAGTACAACATAATATATTATTTAGTAGCAGAGGACGACATAAACAATGTGATATGGCACTACTAGCCTACTGATGTTGAATACAAAATGGCTTACTAACCATTGACTAATCCAATTTCCCCTCATTTTTTAACTTTCATTTCTCAACCTCATTAGAATATCAATTTTTTTTATTATAACTATTTTTTATGTCAGGTAATGATGAGAATGGAAAGGAAATGATGAATGAAACTGGAGAAAGTTCCCATGTTTCGTAGCTTAATAAAAGGGCAACAAAACATGCAGAAAGGAAATCATAGTCCAATATTTGGATCAATAGTCTGCATATACAAAATAAAAAGTTAAATTCATATAGATTTTTACCAAAATGTTGCGATGACGGTGAAGCAAAACAAACCCTCAAGCAATTCCTCAATAAATAAGAGATTTGAGAAGCAAAATGTAAAATTAGTTTAATTTCTTCGCTCATGAGTGGCGTAGAAGCTTCATTCAAAATTTCAAAACATAGAGTAAGAATCCAAAAGAAAAAACAATGTTTCATAAGCTCTTATAGAATCAGATTTTCAAAAGCGGAAGAGAACAATTTAGGTGCTTATGATCAGGAATTTGGATGATGATGCTTTTCAAGTTCTGAGAAAAGTACGTATTTGGGCGTGCTTGCTTTAGAAAATGATGCTACTTTCTTTGGAGGGAAACTCTTTTTGGAGAGGTCGAGAGCTTTCTATGGAGATGGTGCGTAGGTAGGGTAAAGTTATCTAATATTACATCAGTCATAGAGTGAATGGATGTAGATATGTTTATAGTTTTACACTTATTTATGAAATTGTCACTGTGTTTCAGTAATACATTGTCCCTTATGAAATTGATGTAAAATACTCTTGTTTGCCATGAAAATTGATGTAAATATGCTTTGCATTTTATAAAAAAATTACATAAAGGTCAGCGCAGTTTGTTTTTATATCATTTTTCTAAAAATCAATGTAGAATTGAAAACATTGATGAATTTTCTAGTAGTGTTTTAATTTTATAATAACTTTTTGAATTAATTATGATATAATTGTTATAGTATGTAATCTAAGTAAGTTTTGAAAATTTTAATTTTGATAATTAATGTGAGCTAGTGTTATAAAATAATTATTTTAGTTATTTATTATATATGTATACTTTATTTTATGTGGTTAAATTAGGTGAGCCCATTAAACTACTAAATAAAAAGATACATGTTTAAGTGAGCAAATGTTAACATATACAAATTAGGAGATGATGAAAAAACATTTTAAGTTTACATGTTATAAGAATGTTATATATGATTAAGGATGGTAAAAATACCCGCACTCACGAGTATTTGTAAGTAAAATCTATTACGGATAATAAATGGATAGACTAATTGGGTACCCACAGATAATGAAGATGAATAATTTTTTACCTGTTTATAAACGGGACGGGGACGAGTATGATGATATCCATACTCGCGGGTACCCGTTTAATAATACTTTTTAAATATTCTAATTATCATTGTACACATAACCTTAAAACTATACTCTCTCATCTTATTTTCTTACAAAAGTGAGGTTGATGAAGTTACCAATATGTGTTAAGCATGTTATAGAATTATGTTGAATGTAATTTGGTTAATTTTCTAGCTTTGATTGAACCAATAAAATTTATATATTATAAGTTATTTACTTTCATTTGTAATTATGAGATTGAATTATTGTAACTTTGTGATGAGACTTTAACTTACTTGTGAGATTGATGTATTTTAAGTTATTGATTATCTTGTATTTTTATTATTATTTCAACAAAATTAACATTAAATACAAGTTCAAGATTAATATTGAATTTTTATTTTTAATATTTCAATCACATTAAATATAAACTTAAAATTATTTGTATTATAATTTTTTAAATTTCTTAAAAAATTTATAAATATTCATAAATATCTGTGAGTATTTAAAAAATTCATGGATACCCACTTAATAAATACTCACACGGATATAGGAGGTCAATTTTCATCTAATGGAACCAAGGCGAGAGCGAGTTTACTATTATCCACCCTATGGGATCCATTACCATCCCTATATATGATCCCTAATACATTGAATAACAAAAACTCATAATCCATTCTTTCTATCTAAAAATATTCGGTTAAAGAAAAACTATAAAATCACCGTTCCGATCACGATCAATTGTTGCCATAAAAATTTCACAGTAATTAAGAACGTTTAGATAAAAAAAAAAAAAAATCAAAGATATTATAATCTTAATAATCAAGCATATTATAATGCCATAACATAAACATATTTTTCTCTTCTTTCGCATAAAGGATATATAATACCGGTATAAGAATTAAACTTTTCATGGTCTTCTGCTTCCTCTCAAACAAGATCCTATTCGAAATGTTATTTAGCTACCAAGGTCCCCTAAAGATTCCAAATGAAACAAATAGTTCCATTCCATCTGTCCAGAGAAGAAAAACATGCCATACTCTCAATCCAGCCTAATATATGGATCAAATTGTAGACATGTTTTTGATAGTGGGTTTACAAGAGACAAGATTCGATGGGCCAAATGCATTTGGATTCTCACGATGATGCCACATTTATATAGATCAGATTTTAGTTAACATAGTTTGCTAGTCAATGGCTTAAGAGAAAGACACCCACACAACAAGCCACAAGGATTGGGACTTATTGAGTTAGATTTATGCAATTAAAACGTTATTTCAAGTGAAAATTGTTTCAA